TACTTCATGGCGGTTACAGCTAGGTGAGGTTAGCCAAGTAAGGTTGCTTGCCTAACATCTATACATCCTGAGGTGCACCATCTATGTACCTCTAGATCTGGTTTTTTTTTTTTCTATTAGCAGGTCACTTATATCTGATTCAAGATAACTCAGGACAAACTTATGATTTTGGCAGTCTGTTTTAGTGGTTATTACCAGACACCCATGATAAGGATCCTTTTTACTTTTGGTAGGGGTGACACAAGTACACATCTCAAGTTACATTTAAAAGAATCATCTCCTTTCTCTTTCAAATTCCCATGCATGACCTTCCTTTCTCCTTTTTTCCACCCTCACATTGGTACATTTATCTGTGGTTGTATTTTCCTGCTGTGTGTTTGAGCCCAAATAGATAATCTCTATGTTGGCCAAAAATTAATGTCTTTCCTAGCTATTGTTATGGTGGGCCAGGGATCCTCACGGGTTTCTTTTAGGGACTTGTGAGAGGCCTCTGGGGTCCTTCAGTCTTTCTCTACCAGTTATGCTATCTGCCAGCATGGGTCAGGGTCTTGCTGACTTGGTGGCTTCCATTGGAAGTGTTGGGGATATTTCCCTGTACATTGACCCTCTCTTTGCAGAATGCAGATTGGTTGGCATTCTGTTCTCTAGGATCCTCATGATCCACCTGATCAGGAGGTTGGGTGACTCACCAGCGCATTCCCTGGGTCCTTGGCTGACCTTAGAGGACAAGAGTCAAAACATTGACTTTTTTTCTTGGCCCTTTTATTTTCCTTAACTTTGGACACCAAGTTATATTTACTGAGCATGTAGAAAGTCATTTCCCACTAATCTTACAATAGGAGCAGAGTTTTTTCCTTTTAACTTCTGCAATATTACAGTTACCCATTCCACTTAATTGGAGTCCGTTTTAGTACAGGGAGTCACTGTCATATCCTATCTGTTCTGTGGATGGTGGCTCGTTATCTCAAATTAACTCAGGTTATTCCATTAGAAGTTGTACTTCTGTGAAACACTCACAGGAAACAGTGAGTGAAAAGTATTACAAGGAAAAATACAAAATGAAATCAACAAGAATTAAGCATATTGTTTGTACCATAAATCTGAACCAAAAAGTGTATTTTAATGTTAACCTGAATGTACTTTCAATATCTATTTAGCCTCTACAAAAACCAATCAGTAATTTGTCAACTTGATCACACATAAACTCTTTCATAAGTTGGATTTCTTTGAAACCCTTTGACAACATTTAAATAGCTTTTATACTTTCCTGATACCTTTACTTAGCTTTGCCTTTTATTTCATTTAATTTTGAGATCACAGCAAAATTTTATTGCTTTGAACAGACTTAATTTTAGCCTACTTGAGGAGCCATCTCAACATGGAACAGGACAAGAAACAGAGCCTTATCCCAGGTGAGGATGGTCATTTGGCAAATCTTTCCTGAACTCCTTAGGTGAACAATGCCCAACATTTTTTTGTTTGTTTTGTTTTGTTGTTGGGTTTTATTTATTTTTTCCTTATCGTGGTGGTACAATTTGGATTGCCAAGGATTTGCACACTTGTATTTGTCCTTATTCAAAAATAATGACAGTG